TGGACCCGAACAAAGGATCTTGGGTCAGGATTACTTTGAGATCTGAGTAATTATCTTCTGGTAGCGCCTCTGATCACTGTTGCCTCTCACACATCCAAAACTTAACACAAGCCAAACATGGCAGTAACCTACAGCAGGAAGGTTCACTCACCCATTTCACACTAGTTTGCTTCATCCCATCAAAAACAGTCTGTATTTCAAATGAAGCATGGAAGCCAGACTGACCCTGCACAATACTGTATATTGTTTGCTTCATCCTGGTATTACTAAGCTGTTCCAGAACTTTCACACACTGCAGCCCCCCCCCCAAATCACGGGAAACTGATCAGCACCTCTGTGTCCAACAAGGAAAAAACAAAAGTCTTCGGCTGAAAGCAGTGACTTAGGTCCAGGTCTGGGGCAACTAGCACTGCAGGAGAAGTGAGCAGACCGAATCAAGGGAATGAAGCATGAGAATCAATCCTTCCTTCCTTCCTTCCTTCCTTCCTTCCTTCCTTCCTTCCTTCCTCCCTCCCTAATGGAGTGAGTACCTGAGAAGTTACAACCAGCCTTTTTACCATACACTTGGACCTAGTTTACTTTAACATTTCTCACTGTAACATAGCAGGATGATATAAGCAAAAGGATCTCAATCTTTTAGAGACCACTAATCACAGTCACAAAGAACCTGATATACAGTCATGACTTCTACCATTTTATGTATCAGAACATAATAAAAATCATCTGGTCCTTAGCAGGTCTGAAGATTAGGTAAATACAACCTCAGATGAACAACACATGACGTATTACACTGTGCCGTGATTTATTTTACAAAAATAAAGCCAAAATGGAGACGCCATATGTGAAAAACTAAGTACTGTACATCCTTACTGTTTCCATAGGAATTAAGACACTAATAGCAGCCAGGTTCTGCTAACCAAATACTCTTTTGAGTAACTGATCATCAGCAAGTGTAGCCATCTTTATAAAAGCCACAAAGTTTTAACAGTTTGCTGGTCTGGATTATTCAGGTATGTATTAACACAATGCCAAGGAAGAAACACATTAGCAATGATTGTAGAGAAGCAATTGTTGCTGCCCATAAATCTGGGGTTATAAGGATATTTCCAAACAATTTAAAGTCCATCATTCTACAGTGAGGAAGATTATTCACAAGTGGAAAACATTCAACGCAGTTGCTAATCTTCTCAGGAGTGGACATACAAGCAAATTCACCCCGAGGTCAGACCGTGCAGTGTTCAAATTGCAAAAAACCCAAGAGTTACATCTCAGACTCTATAGGCTTCAGTTAACAGATGAAATGTTAAAATTAATGACAGTACAATTAGACCAAGACTGAACAAATATGGTTTGTTTGGAAGGGTTGCCAAGAGAAAGCCTCTTCTCTCTAAAAATGACATGGCAGCACAGTTTAGATTTGCAAAGTTGCATCTGGACAAACCACAAGACTTCGAAAACAATGTCCTTTGGACAGACGAGATAAAAATGGAGATGTCTGGACATAATGCACAGCACCACATTTGATGAAAACCAAACACAGTATATCAGCACAAGCACCTCATACCAACTGGCAAGCATGGTGGTGGAGGAGTGATGATCTGGAGTTGTTTTGCAGCCACAGGACATGAGCACCTTGCAATTGTTGAGTCGACCATGAACTCCTCCATATACCAAAGTTTTCTAGAGTCAAATGTGATTGTTTTGCAGCCACAGGACATGAGCATCTTGGAGTCATTGAGTCGACCATGAACTCCACCGTATACCAAAGTTTTTTAGAGTCAAATGTGAGGCCATCTATGTGACAGCTAAAGTTTAGCCAAAATTGGGCCATGTAGCAGGATAATGATGCCAAGCATATCAGCAAATCTACAGAATGACTGAAAAAGAAAAGAATCAAGGTGTTGCAATGGTCCAGTCTAAGTCCAGACCTCAACCCAATGGAAATGCTCTGGCGAGACCTTGTGAGATCTGTGCATAAACTAATCCTCGCAAACCTCAATGAACTGAAGTAAAGTTGTAAAGAAGAGTGGGTCAAAATTCCTCCACAATGATGTGATAAAGTCATACAGGAAATTATTACTTCACGTTATTGCTGCTAAAGGTTGTTCTACAAGCTATGGAATCGTAAGATGTACTTTTCACACACGGCTTCTCCATTTTGGTTTTATTTTTGTTAAATAAATCACGATATGATGTAAGATGTCATGTTATTTACCTATTTTTCAGACCTGCTAAGGACCAGGTGATTTTTAATATATCCTGATATGTAAAACCATAGAATTCTAAG